AGTAAATAGCTTTATGGTTGTAATCACAGATCAAAAGCAAGGATGATTAACTTCAGTAAGCCTCAGTTGTTTTGATTTTTTTGGCTTTTATTAATTGAATACAAAACAGATTACTTCACAAACATATTAAAACTTCTTTATTTAGATTATTGAACCTGATAGGAAAAAGAAAAAACTGGTAAAGAACAAAGAATATATTGACAAATCCTTAAAGTACCTACAGTATGAAAAAGAAGAGAATAATTCAGTGGATACGCAGAACACAGGTATGTTCTAAATACTGTAACTTCTTTCTGTCCAGGAATTATCACAAAAATTGGGAAATATTCTGCGGCTTTTGTGGATATCTAGAAATCTAGGAGCAAAATAGAATTAAGGAACTTTCCTTGGCTTTTTATCTTGTTATTTACAAAGTTCACATTAGTATCTATCACCTAATTGAAACTTAACCACAATAGGTTTCAACATACCTGTTGAAACCCTGTTGTTTGATATTCAATCATATTTTGTAAATATTTTAAACTGTTAATATTTGTAAATCTATATTTTCTGCCACTTTATTTGGTTTAGATATTAGACTGTCATAAATGTGTACTCTTCTAAAGGAACAGAATAGGAGATTTTTGGAAATTAATGACAGCATTACCTTTTCAAAGGAGCAAAGTATATGAATGATTTTTGGTAACAGATTTCTGGATAGATATGAAAAGATCAAGAAATAACTAGTGTATAAAACAGGATGTTTATATATTTTTTAAAATCCCTGTTTTTGCACTGTTGTCAAGGGAGAAGCAATATAGCTTAAAGACTGATGTTATATAATACAGCCAAAGCTATGTGCTTTGAGCAGGATAGGTATCAGCATAATTATTGGTTAAGAAATGTGTATGGAAGAATGATGAAAAATATTCCTTGGATGTAGTATGTTTGAGATAAAACATTTTATTTATATTGCTAATGAAGGGGAAACAAACAAATGTATGCGCTCTGAAATATGCTCAGAAACCTTTGAGAAATTGAGAGCATTTAGCCGCTTGGAGCTTCCAAGAAATAGAGTTTCTTCAGAAAATTTCCATGGAAAAGAATCAGTAGCTTTGAAATCACATTCTGTGATTGGAAACAGCGAAACAAATGATACTTTACATCCCCCAGATATAAGTAAGGTAATCAGTTCTTTGCTATTTTTTGATTTAGCTGTTACAATTTAATTGTGAACATTGACTGAATTTTGAAGATGCTAAGATAGCAATTTACTATTGTTAAATCTTGTATCATCATATTCTCCATTACAAATGAATAAGTGACAATGGCAGTTATCTGTAAGATTCAATAATGAAGATAGTACATGTTAAGTAGTTCAGTTAATTGTATCAGGATTTTATGTATGGGTAGATATGGCAATGTGCTGGAAGTCAGTTGGTGAATAAAGACTAACTACAGTATATCCGTATGAGTATGTGTATACTTTATGTGTGTACATATATACAAACACATTATATATAGACTACATTTCTGTATATGTGTCTGTTTGGTAGCCAGGTAACATGTGAAATAGCATGGATAAGCATAAAGTAATTGTTATAGATGCAGCTCTTTGCTGAGCTTGGCTTTTTTTTAAAAGCTAACACCATAAAATCCTAAGGTTGTGCGATAGACTGAAAAATGGATATTGCTGCTAAGAAAATTACATTGACATGTCTGAAATTCCTAGGAGTTGAATTCTCCTTGAAAATTTTACTTTTATGTGTTGATCTTAATTGTCTGCCTTATTTAATATGTGATCCTAAGGCAAACCTCAATTGTTTTCTGATGGATATTCCTTCTGCCAGGGTAGAAATGGCTTTGGATCAAAAGTTCCTTTAGAATTGTTACCTGAAAAGGAGTAATTTACATTCTTAATTTATGCTAAATAAAATTAGAATGGGAAAATTTCCTTTTAGAGTAATTTATAGGAGAAAAAAAAAATGTTCCGATAGGGAAAAGGGTTAGGAAACTCATTTTCCTCTTTCTCCTTTTCTGTTTTAATTGGGAATAGCTGATAGATTATATAAAAAGCAAGAGACATGTGTTCTTGCACCCATCTCCCATGAGATTGCTGTGCTAATCCTAATGGGCTTAAGTAATGATTTTAACAGATCTTGGTGTTTTCTAATACAAAGGAATCTATTCCTATAAAAATAAACCATATTAAATTTGACAAAACATATTCTGAGAATTGTACATATAGGATAGCTAAATAAATCAATGATTTTTTTCAAGGATATCTAAGTAAATTATTCTATATATTATTGAAAAGTGATTGCAATTTTTCTTACTAGAGCAACTTTTAAATTATCATTAAAATTTGTTTATTTTAGTTTTTGATCTTTTAAAATACATCATACATTGTTAAGATATAATTAGAAAACAATACAAGCAAAGCTAGAAAATTATCAGAAAAAACGCTACAGAATTTTTATAAATTTGCAATTTGGGTTAAAATAATTAATGTAATAAAATGCATCCATTAAACAGGACTGTTATAAAGAAAGCCTAGTTCCTTAGGAAAAAGTAATAATAAAAATGGGGAAACAATTACTATCATAGTAGTACCTGATAATGATTTGAGTTCATTGACTTTAAAAGAGGATATTTGTAGCTCAGGAGTTGAACTGTGGGGTCCTTGGTGTTCCCTGAATTTGGATTTTCTTTGCAGATTTCATTACCCAACTAAGTAACACCATCTATGTTAGAAGGCAGACCAATGTGTGCAAAAAAACAGCCAGGCTCAGAGAGCATCAAGGACTCCACAGATACTTGATTTTTCATCCTTATTCTCATTCTGTTCCATCTTGGAACAAAACATTTAACTGTCTGTTGTGTCTGTTTTTCCAGTCCAAATGCTTCTCTAAATTGCTTGTATAC